TTTTATCTCCAAAGGACAGCAGGAAGATTAAGTGGAGCTTAATCTCCGTACACCTCTGCACCCTTTAGCAAACGGCTGCAACACCATCATTACACACTTTACACGAAAACTGGAGAGTAGCGGGCCTTATCGTGTCATGTTTCCCAGATAGCGACGGCTAACGAGACACAAATGTGTGAATGGGAGGAGGGAAATTGTCTCAAATGAAAGCAGCAAATAACGCCAGCGCCTTCCCCCGGTTAGCGGCGCGGTCAGTGCAGCCGAGTTGTTTTCCTTCGGAGTGGGACGGTTGCTTTGTGGAGAGAGAGGGGGCCTGCAGAGAATTGAACAATTTATTAGACATTTTTATAAAGTAATAGGAAGCTGGTTGGACTTTGATTGAATTCTTGTTTATTACACAGACTCGGGCTATTCTTTCTTGAATTGTACACGCATCTCAGAGGAGAGGCTTGCATTCCTAATCTGAATCACTCCCCTTCCCTCATTTAAAAAAAATTAAAAAAATCAGCCTCAGTGGACATTTTTCAGCCGGCCAGGCCTCCTCTAGCCTCGCACTTGTCAGGGCCCCAGTCTATTACATTCTCCTCCTTTTCTAAAAGATGGCAATTAATCTAATTAGTAATCAATCAGCCGTTGGGCCTCCCGCCTCCTCCGTGCTAATGGAGGATATGACAGGCCTGGACCTTGCATTATTAATACCTCCATTCCTGGAGCCCAGGGCCCCCCTGATGCCCACAGCCAGGGGCCATTGATCACTACCACAACCCAGCGAGCACCGCGAGGACTGCAGGGAAATATCCGGCGTAGTGGGAGCGCAGACGGGAATGTAGTGTGTCGGTGTGTGGTACGATGAATCCGTTTAGCGGGATTTAGGGTAATTTTGGGAAAGAGGGAAGGATTTTTTTTTATTTTTATTGAAAAGATGCAAAAAAAAATCCTTAGTGTGAGATGTTTGCCTGGTGGTGCGTGGAGTCTGCAGGGAAGCTCGCGGTGCACGTCTGAAGGAGAAAAGGGATGGCGCGAGTCGTGTTAATGGGAATGTTGTGCTCCGAAAAGCTCATTTGGTAAATGGGGCTCACCTCAAAACTATTATGGCAGGAAAAAGGGGGCCTCTCTGCGGGACTATTTCTGGAAAATGAGATTAGAAATTATAGGACGCCGCTAACGCTGGGGAACAATGATCGCAGTGTGGCAATAAAACAATCACGGCAACATTATCCTTCATCTTCCATGCGTTATACGAGCACCCAATCTAATAGCCCCGGCAGCTGAAGTTATGGAGCCCGATAACAACCCCACCAGCTGATCTCGTTCGTCTGCGATCAATATTGGAACTGTTCAGGCCGGGGAGGGAAAAAAAAGAAAACAGCTGAGCAGAACAACAAAACCTCTTTGCTCATGGGTAGCCGTCTACATCCTGTCCTCTTTAACTGAATCTGCTGACCCTAATTTGTCTAACCTCCGTCCCAGAAGCTGTTAATCATGTTCAGTCTGAATGTTGGTTTTCAGAACAAGGAGTCAAGACTTTGGTGGCTGGACTATAGCTCAGCTTCCTAGTTGAGATATAATCATATCTGTATTAGTTTTGTAGGTGTGAAGAGTTTTCAGTGACCCATTTTTTCATTAATGTCTATTTTGGGTGTTTAGATTTTGTACATTTGTAACGTTAGTCGAGCTGAAACTGCCAGACGGAAAATGAATGTACAACTGCTTTACCGCTGATTAATCATCTGTCATTTTTCAAGGACAAATGCAGGAAAAAAAAACCTCCTTCCAGCTCCTGTGTTGTGAGGAATCGCTCAGAGTTTTCCGACTGTTGTTTGGACAAAACAGCCGATTTGAGGACGTCTCTTTTGGCTTCATCGTTGTTCTGGACGGCGAAAGCCATACGTTAAGCAAGTCGGAGCCCCGCATGCACAAGCAGGCGGCAGCTTAAAGGAGCAACCAGAATGAATGAGCGCTGAAATGCACCATCCATATAAATCACAGGGGGTTATTAAACAGGATGATGAGTATAAATGATCTCAGTGTGCTTTTTGATCCGTGACGGGGACAGTTAAAGCAGTTTTGGGGGCTCGACACCTTATTAAAACACTTCATTTGTCGTATTGAAGTTTTTATTAACCTTGTGATATTGAGTCATATTGATGATTTTTGACTAGAAAAACATCTGCGGCCTGCCGACAGTGTGACGGACATGTGGGACGGTGGACGTTGTGTGCGAATCTTTAGTGGTGACATCATCTTTACTCCACCAGGCCACTTCCCATGACGAAGGCTCGGTGTCATTTGGCTCGGCGGCCGTAACATTTCCACCGGTCGGCCATGCGTTCAGAGTTTACCGCCGCCTCCCCCCTCCATCTTTACGCCGCACAGGTTAAGTCACCACAAGCCGGCGTGCCAAAGCTGTCACACAGCTCCGCTTAATGTGCAGAAGGCTGGGGTTGTTAAGTATTTACAAGCCTTTAGTGGCTTTATGAAGCTACGATGGGAGTGAGCAGCACTGTTGAGCTCACAGCAGCTGCAGTCAGCTGCCTCATTCTGGAGGGATTGGGAAAGCAACGCCGCTCATCTGCTGCACCGCGATAGGGTCAGCGAACACGCTCTGTCCACGGCTAAGGATGTGAGGAATCGCTCTGCGGTCGCAACCTCCTTCCCTCCCCTCTCCGCTCGATTGCCACGTGGGTGTAGGTTTATACATGTCAGTTTCATTGGGGTTAAGCTTGGTTACAGGAAATCCACAGACCGGTTGCCATTAGTCATCCTTACTCATCAAGAGACAGCTTTTGTGTGTGTTCGGGGAGTGCTGAATTCGCAATAATGGATTTACAGGACGTTCCTGTGTGATGAATTGGCATCGATGTGATTGTGCTTTCTCTGTGGGGAGGCTGGGTGAAGGCGGGGGGGCAGTGCCATGTGTGAGGTGAGCTAACACCAGAGCGGCGCTGGTTTCAATCCCAGCTGTGCTGCACGAACGAGTCTCTGGAGACGAGCTTCGGGCGAATGAAGAAAGTTTCAAAGTTCTGAAAAGACCAGAAAGATGTTCAAAAAAAATAAAGCTCCCAGCAAACTTGATGCGTCATAAAGCTCCTGAATATCCTTCTTAAAAAACCGCTGGAGTAACAAGCTAGCTGTAAATGAAGGTAGCAAAGAAAAGAATTGTCAGCTGTAGAGCTGTTGATCGATTTGTTGTCACTATTTTAATAATGGACGACTCGGTTTGAGCAGTTTTTCATGCAGAAATCCCCTGATTTAGCTTCTTAAAATTGAGTATTTTATGTATTCTTTCCTCCTTTATGACAGCAAACGGAAAAACAAAGCATTTGAGGATGTTGTCTTGGGCTTTAGAAAACACTGACTGACATTTTCCACCAATCTGGGGCCTTTTATAGACCAGTAAATAATCGACAATCGTTAGTTGCAACCCTGATCAGTCGGTCACACGTACAGATGTCTTTCTACCGCGCTGGTTTTTGTGCCGTCACTGTTGTGAACATTGTTTGATTTAGCAGCAGATGAACTGAGATAAATCCGTCCTGCTACTATTGTGTTTACTGTTATTTCTATTTTGTCATATTGTTTTGATAAAACACCCACTAGGGCTGAACAGTTAATTGTTTTTTCTTCAAATCAGAATCACAAATTGAAACGGTCCGATTAGTAAAAAGCAAAGGCTGCAGTTCAGGATGTAAAAGGTGAGACTAATCCTGCGTTTCATTTCTATTTAATTTGAGCAGATGGAAGCTTCCAGAGGCTGCATGTGATTGCCCATTCATCGATGATACGCGACGCGGTTCAAGTATGCATGCTGTGGTTTGGCTGACATAAGCCCAGTTTCCTTCGATAACAGCCACACCTCGAGCATTTCGCTGCGACCGAGGGTTTAAACTGTCGCGTCAGTGGTTTCAGAGTCATGC